AAAATAAACCCATTTTCTGATCAACTCTGAACACAGCGGCATCATCAATGACATCACCAACTGACCAATGACCAAAGGTTGCAGTTTTATGGAGTACAGTCGTCTCTTGAAGGCTTACACCTACTGTCTTCTTATTGGCATTCACATACAGAATGCGACATTTCACCTGTCAATACACCAGGGAGGAACATATAACACACCATGTGTAACAATGTGTACCAATATGTGCCAATGTGTTCCAATATGTACCAATGGGTACCAATGTGTGCCAATGTAAACTGATGTGTTCCAATATGTGCCAATGTGTGCCAATGTGTACCTAGCCTGATAGCAAACTGTACTATTTGCAAAAACAGGTGATTTAATTGGATGGCTACACTTCATTTGAAGGTCTTTCCCATGGAAAGACCTTCATGTAGGATACATGTAGCTTTCAGAATTTTTTTTCAGACGTTGTGTGAAGTGAATTCCCACTTGAAGTGATAGCCATTTTTTCAAAACTAAGCAATCAAATTCAATCTACATAATAAACAAAAATTCTGAGCTTGAGCAGAAAGAGTTCAGGGCTCAAAAAAAAAAAAACCCTTCAATGCATATTAACTTGGCTTTATTTTGATGAACTGAAGTCTTCCATTTGTTTTTGAAGGAAGTCCTACAGCATCAAAATCATTAGAAATTTAGCTGATAATCTAATTTGTGATAAAAATTGTTTTTCTTAAGCCTTTAGTTCTTCATTTACAGTATACCATTAAATTAGGAGAGAATATTTCTTTGTTGCATCCAATTTTCAAATAAGCAGTTTCACCCTAAAGGTGCAAAAATTAAATAAGCCCTAATTCTCTTACTAGTTCCAAGTAAATACAGTATACATTAAACAACCTCACTGGTTAAATTTCACTCTACATGTGTATTAAACAAGATGCAGTAATGATTATACTCAAAACACTAAATTTTCATGAAATTTTTAGGGGGCTTTTGGTTACACACCCTGGGTATAAATGTACCCATCCTCCACTAGTTATTTATATATTGAAAAAAAAAGGGAAAAACTGTAGCTGGGAACTATATTACATAGTTAAGTTATGTGTGACATCATATCTAATAACCTTTTTCTTCAATGGATAGGTTTCTTCCAAATTCTTTCCATCCCCACCACAGTTTGGAAGATGAATTATGTCTGCCGATCCTTCAAATCCTCCCAGAAAATCCAGGATCAGACCACTCTGAGTCACCTGTGTTGTAACAAAAGTCTTTTTTTATAGGGACAATGACATTACTAGCACAAATATGTGGAGTTTTCCAGGATAGAGCACTTTTTTATTGAAATGTGTAAAACCAAACTCCATTCAGAACTAAGATACAGTATATATCACAAGGACTAAGATCTTACCTGAGTTACAGATGCTTTGACAAGCATACCAGGAAGAAGTGCTGAGAACTTCAATTTCATATCCTCTGTAATCTACAACAACAACAAACTTTTGTTGCTCACAAAAATGCTATTAATGAAAATAAAACTAGATTTTAATTTAACTAATTAATTATTAGTAATTATTACTTTATAATTAACAGGTGAAATTTATAGGAGCATATTTTAATCATTATTGGAGGCTAGAGGCTAAAAGAACCATGACAGCATTCAATAGTATTGGTAATAAACATTTTAAAATGTAATTATGTACAAGGGATCATTAATGTAAGCCTTGCTGCTTACAGCTGGTGCAGTAAAGTTGTTTACAGTGACATGAACATACCATTGCACCTTGAACCTCATCTGTGTCCACGCTGACTGTTATGATTCTCTGCTCTTTTGCCACAGACTTAATTAACAGTGAAAGGGGATTCCCCTCTTCAAATTCTAAAAGGAGCAATAATAAAAATTATAAATCATTATAAATTATAAATGACAGAAACACTGTTCTATGAAGAGTCATCTAAAAAAAACATACACGTGGTGTGTGTACTTAAGTATGTGGTTTGTGCATAAGCAAATTACAGAATTCCAATTAATTTCAATTGATACCTCTATTTAGACTGGTCTTTGGTAGAAAAGCTGTTGTGTCATCAATGCCAAATGATATGAGGTAGCCATGGTCTTCAACACTTTTTACAAACCCTGAAAGGACCTACAATTTTTTAAAATGAAATTAATGTTTGCGACTGATTAGCACAATTTAGCCACTTTAAATGATCTGTAAGGAGGCACTTGATGTGTTACTCAATCAGAACAAACCAGTGAATGATATATCCGTCAGTTTTCACTTAGCTAAAAGAAATGTTCATAAAGATGTTAATCACCCAACATACATGATCAATAAATAGCAATCATTTATGTGGTACATGTACAGTAGGTAGCTACATGTACAATGAGTGGCAAAAGTCTTGGTGCACTGTACCATAATCTGAATCTTTTCTACATCTTTCATTCATCTCCCTCTTCTCCTTCATTTCAGTTGCCTAGTGTTTGCATTAATGCTCACTAATTTGAGGCAACATTGCTTGGGGGGAGGGGGGGGAGAAAGGGGAGATTTAAATTAACTTATTTGAGATTAATTACATTATCTCTGTTTATTATGCTGAGTGGAAGGTTATCAACCACCCAGTTAGGGGAGGTATACCAACTTCCTCTGCCACTCATTATATATACACAATGCACACATAATTGGAACATGTAGAGCACTGGTCCTGTACATTGTAGTTGGGCCATTCACCCAACTTAACCATGGGTTCCAACCCCTTCTGGTCTCCCTTCTTAGAGAACATATTTGGATGAATATGCTGCAATTCTTATCTGTATTGACTTTTTAATGATGAAAAAAGATAAAAGTACGCATGAAGGGTAAACATCTCTTATATTTATCCAACGATTATCAATTCTACATGTACTAACCATCCCTTGCTTTAAAGATAACTTGGTGATGCCACTATTAAGCTCTTTAGGATCCACAGATAATTTGATTTTCTTTTTTCCAGGTTTTGGGCCTTCAGTTTCCAAGACTGAACACTGCACCAGAGATCCTACTGTAAAGAATTTTGCAAGCCCTGGGAAACTTGGTGTGTCCTGTGATAAAAAAAGATAGAGTTTTCCTGTACATGATATCTTGCACTTACAAAACAGCAAACAAATGATGTCTTTTCTAGTCTAGACACACTATAAAATTAAAAAGTCCCTGGAAAAAATAAGCTTAAAGAAATTCAATGTGACATTTTTCACGATAAAATTTACTCACATGTAGTCAGTTTTATTCACAAAACACAGCATTTCACAATTCAAAAATTCAACTTTCTATTCTCACACATCATATTGTGAATGTCGCCTCCACAACACAACATTGCCTGTTAGCAAGGGCCAAGTACAAATTTTTATCATGATGTGTGCCTGGGACATCTGTGATCTTCAAGAATCTGACTAGTGCCCAATAATTTCATTATTCCCTTCACTCCTGAGATCTCATTCAATTCTCCTTACTGACTGTCATACACTCTGTATGACAGAGTTTCAAGAATTAAGTATTAGATCACTTAACAATCCCAAATTGATATTTTTCTCTATTTTCATCACTTGTCTGTTTGATATTGAAGAAATTTAAAATGGTTCATAGCCTGATATAAACTCGCAGGAGGTTGAGAGAACACGAGATAAGTGTAGGAAACCACGATGCGAAGCGGAGTGGTTTCCAGTTTATCGAGTGTTCTCCCAACCTCCCAAGTGTTTACATCAGGCTATGTAAACACAGAAACCATTTTAAATTTCTTTTATAAAATAACTAATGAAAGAGGCCCAAAAACGTGTTTACATACACTCATGTAAAATGGTTTTATGGCCAATCAGAGCACACGTACTATTTGAATTATTTTATAATGTGTTATTATTGCAAGGAGGAAATGTGTTGGTCCCTCATGGAAGCTTAAGAGTTAATTTACTAATTTTAAGGGGGGAGGGAGTCCTGAGTTCAACATCAAAACTAAAACAACCCTTGATAACATATTTTTGGATGTTGGTGCCTTGCAATTTAAAGTACTCTCTAACCTCTGTGTTTCCACTCTCATCAACCTCTAAGATGTTCTTTAATCTCTCAGTGATCTTCTCATTAATGTTTGTAATATGAACAAATCCACCCAAACCATTTGGCAGACTTATAGCCATGTCATATTCATTTACTTCGCGGATAGCTCCCAGAACTTTCATTCCCACATAGAGTTTCTGTAAAAAATTTAGAGAGCAAAAGTATTGAGCATGTACTAAGCTTGTCAAGAGTTTTAGGTCTCTTTAATTAACCCTTTAACTCCCAAGATCTGATTGTTAATTCTCCCCTCTAGCTGCTACACATTTCCTTGTACATTGGTTATGAGAATTTGGTGTTCAGTCAAGGTAACATCTTGTACCCAATGAATTTTAGTATTCTCACCACCTGTTTTCTAAATAGTGTATGGATATTATAAGGAGAAGTTACATGTTAATCACATCAGGGAGTTAAGGGGTTAAAAGTTCTGTGATAGAAATAGGCCCTTCACGCCACAGTCTTAAGGGCAAAGTGCAGACCATCTCAAATGTATCAAAGCTCACTAGAATTCCTCATATCCCATTGGTGAAACTGCTGCATTGACATGCGTTTTAACCCTGACTAAATCACACTTAGCCCCGTATATGCTTAACATCAAAATGGTTGATAAATACATTGATAAAAAGTATAAAAAGGTCACAAGACACAACTGTACCTTGAAAGTCAGAGTTTCCACAAACTTTGATTTAGACTTCTCTATAAATTCAGGCTTGCTATCATCCACTTCAGACTTCTTGGGCTTCTTACTTTTCTTTCCACTTTTTGGGAGCAATTCTGGATCTACTGATGACTTCTACAAGTAACAAGGTCAAGCATTCAAGGTCAAGGGTTATGACTACATGTATTCTCAATTTTAAAAGCCTTTAACCTGATAATACATGTAGTTAGATTTAAAGCAAAAATCTAAATCTTGAATCATTTTCATTGAAAATTTCTCTAATGGAAAACAGATTAATGAATTTTTCATATTTGATAACCCAAGTTGTTCCATTACCCCAAACAGAACATCCTTCTCAGCCTCATTCTTGATTTTCCTCACTTCAAGTGGACTTAAGGCAGAAGCACCACCACGGGGAAAGTCAACTTCCTCAGCATTTCTTTTGTCAAAAAAGCTATTGAATAAAAAAAGTGATGAGCAAAGATAATAATGCTAATATCAATAATATAGGGATAACAACAACAACAACAACAACAATAATAATAATAACAGCAATAGCAAACGTGAAATTTTACAATAATAACAAATGAAAGTGAAAAAAGAATAGATATTACACTGAAATGATCCAATAAGCCCCCTTCCTTCCTTTTTCCCCTTCATAACATTAAATTTTAAAGTATTCATTCAAGCTGGGCAACAGGTCAGTAGAAAACGCATCCCCCACCTTAGGACTCTCATCTGGACAAATTCTAGAGCCCCACTTCCTGTCTACAAGCCTTACTTAGTAGTCATAAGACTACCCCTGACTTATGTGAGCAAATCAAGTACAAGTATATTTGCAGTTACAAGCCACAGCATTTTTAGCATGAAGTTCTAAAGAGTTGTTCTGCAGTTGTTGCACAAATAAAAGAGATTGCTACAATACATGCATGCAAACAAAGGTAACAACTGTTTCACTTAGCGTTATGCCTTGTGAAAATCGTTAACAGACATGCACATGCAATCACATCCCTTGATGTTAACATTCGGGAAATGAGAGTCAACAGTTTGGAATCTTTCTTGCTCACGACATCTAACGATGATCACACTCGTGCATGTATGAATCATGAGGAAGCATACTTAATTGAGGGCTGATTTCCAAGTAACATTCACGACTTTCTGAGAGATTGCTTTCATCGACGAATCTTCGGTAATCATTGAACTTCACTTAGGCTAAAAATTGTTGACTAAAAGATTTCGATTTCTAACTTAAAAGCTCCAGTCGCTTTCCGAAAAAACACGTGGGTTACCAAAACAAGCTCACATGCACTTATGCAAAGGCTTAGGTTTCAGCTGTGTTAAGGCAGGTAGATCGCTACTCACAGACCCAAAATAATATTATGGTTCTTAACTTTTTAAGAAAATCAAACTGTGCTTTTGTCTTTACTAACCTTGGTGTTTCAGGTTTTTTCGAAGCGCGTTTTTCACGACCTATCTTGGTCGCCATTTTGCTTTTTCAAAATGTAGTACCAGTCTACTTCGGTTTCCTGAGAGGACTATAGGCATGCAATGCATGCACGCGGACCTCGGGGGATATGTAGAAATTATTATTGAGAATACAAGGTGCAATTCCGTCTTAAGCCTCTCGCGCTGTCGCCGCTAAGGCGCGCACATAAATTTCTAAAATTGCGAATATTTTTAAAGATGTATTTTCAAAGTCGTTCGCTTCCGATTTTTAAATGTGTTGGTCAGTAAGGAAATAAAACGGAGTTCTCATGAAATAAAAACATCATACTAAGAAAAGAGATTGCACGATTTTTATTCACGAGTTGCGATGCATCAAAAAACTTAATCGTTCTCTGCGCTCACACGTTCGTTTTTCTAGGCATCGCTACTCGTGAATAAAAATCGCTCGTGTGCACCTTCCATGAAATAATCTGAAGAAAGAAATAAAGAAAGGAAAATTTGACAGTTAATCAAGTTCTCGTTCCAATTTTTTTTCAAAAGCAGGTGATAAAGACTTTCCTCAGACAAGAATTGTTTATGTCTACATTCAGGCTAAGTAAACAAATGAGCAAAGGAACGCGCTCATCCACGCTTTTCCTGTACCCATGCTATTACGGAGAAAATCTTCAAAAACTTTTCTTAAAGTACTTTTTTATTTGAAAAATCCAGAAGAAATTTCAATGATTTGGTATACCAAAAAAAATTATAAGTCATCACAAGGTATACTTTTACAATTCCAGGTGTTCAGCTGGATCCTACTCACATTTCATTTTTCATTATTCATATCTCCGCTAATACCCATCCCTCCAATGAGTTAGTCTATATTCTATCTCACATCGTTCTTAATCAAATTTTTAAGGTAGTACATAACTGTTCATTATATGTGCACAGTCCAAATGACAATTTCAATCTGATGTTTCTCAAAGGTTTCTCTATCAGTGTTGATGAATATTTATGCAGATCCTTCTCACACAGTGGATGCAATGCTTCCCTGCTTTCAAGAGCATTTCAAAGTGCACTTTGTCCCTTTGCAAGTAAAGTTTTCTGTTACTAGCCATATGTTCTAATCTGTCTGCAACAAACAGCAGGGTTGATACAAGTCTCTTCAGCATATTGTGTCCCCTTTTTGTTTTGGAAACTGCCATTAAAATTGAGACATTCTCTACCACAAAATGAGCTAAAAACTTGAAATCGGCTGACAGTTTGACATACTTAGGGAGATGATGAGAGTTGTAAAGGCTCAGCAACAAACTAACACTTGATGGTGTTGATCTTTTAACATGAAGACAATGGTTATGAAAAGCTTCTTGAGCATGCAACGCATCTTCAAGCTTCTTAACAGCACTGTACTTCTTGTACAACATGGGACCAGCTTTAGCCATGCGGTGCACAATGGCAACCCGCAAATTGGCATTAAATCGTGTTGATCCAATATCATTTACTAACTCTACCTCCTCCTCTTCTTTAAACTTTTGGTTGCAGTCTGCACTCCAGTGATCATCATTCCAGGGCCCAAGACAGGTCCAACAAAATTCTCCCCTGCACATGCCACAAACCATATGAGGACATCCTTGATTCTTTTCAATGGGATAGCTGCAGTGAGGGCACCTCTTTATGCTCACAGAAGTTATTCCACCAGTTTTTGTTTTGAAAATTTTTTCATATGTTTCAGTCTGCGAGCGAAAAAATTTAGCCTCATAGCATGATGCTGGCCAGTGGGGCTCCTCTTGACAAGAAAAACACCAGTCGTGCCCACAAGGACAATGGACAGGCAATGAAGCAGTCTTGTCCCCTATGTCTTTAGAGCCTTTGAGTGAAGCTGCCCTGACAACCAGGTTACACTTGTTCCCAGGACACCACTTCCACTTAGAACTCATCTCCACAGCTTTTTCTTGTCTCATGGCTATCAATTTATGGAACTTGTTGGGTTGAAGACCCATAAGTGTCACATCATCAACAATGGTATTGCAGTCATATGCTGGGCATTTGATGAATACTTTTCCTTGTTGTAACTGTGCAGAGAGATAAGCTTTCCAGCATTCATTGCAGAACCAGTGAAGACAGGACTTCAGAGCAGTGCAAGGAAAAGCCAAAGTCCTTGTAACTAAAAGTAATGAATGCCAGCAGTTAGATAAGAGAAGAAAACTTACTTACAGGAGCCTACTTGTGTTTACATAATTCTATTTTGTAAATGTACCTAAAAGTTCCAAAAACTATTTTTACAAGTCTTGCTAATGATAAAATACACTGTAAGTGGCTTTTAATTACAAATTATACCGTTAAAACTCATGAACAGCCTTACAATGTAATATTAGTACATGTACCTTCATTTATAATGAATACAGCTAGGATAATAAATGAACTCTTTCTGAATTACAAATAATCAAGTATCATGTAGGAAATTTGGTTACAATGTTACAATACCACAACAAAAAATATTTCTCCCTTAAGAAGTAAAGTAATATATGAAGCAGAACATGCTATTTTCTATGTCATAATACTTTTTTGTGTCAGGGTTCTATTGCAGTATTCCACAAATTGGTTATACATCTGTTGGACTAAAAAATGTTTGTACAACTTAAGAACCAAAATATTTGTGGCTAAATTTGAACAACTTATTTCAGAAGTCTAGGGTTAAATTTGAACACAAGAAAATAGCATGAAAATCTCAAGCCTGGATAGTAGTACAAGAAATGACTCTGCCGCATTTATGATGGATTTCCTTGTCTATTTGTAAGTACAAGTACCCATTTAGACTCCAAGCTGGGCCCATTTCTTGTACCTCCCTGTAACTTGACAGACCCATAAGTAGTTCTTTTTTCATTCAAGATGTGGGTTTAAAAACTTTTGAATGGTATACAATAAAACTATTTGCTAAACAAAAAATGGAGTGGTTAGGGTGCCAAAACCTGCTTCTCTATTTCTTAATATTTGATTCATTTGTAAAATATGGCTATTAAGTTATTGGGGTTTTTGAGTGGAACCTGGACAGAGAGGCAAATTATATGTTTTTTTTTTAAGACCAAAACAGAGTACCTTGGGTTAAGGTTAAAACTTGATTCTAGTGTACTAAACATAAAACCTGAGCATCTCTTATTACAAGTTGACAGGATTAGATAAAAAGAATTATTACTTACCATCACAAGTGTCATGATAAAACTCACAGCAACAGATTTCACATACAACAGTCTCAGGTATAATGGTAGTTTTGGCTCCTCCATCTGCAGCCACAACTGATGGGGCAGGGCAAAGTGCAACAGTTCTTAGAATATCAGGTAAAGCCAGACTCACAGTGGATGCCTTGTGGGAACATTTATTGATATCGTACAACAAATCAAAGGGCATGACTGCTACTCTGTTGAGCTGGCTGTTGCTTGTGTTTGGGCTGCAACCAAGTGAACATTTATCAGCAGGTAGGGGTTTTTCCATAACTTTGCTTTCATGCTCCAAAATACCAAAGAAATTCTCCAAGAATTCCTTGCAGTGCTGCGATTGTTGGGAAGGCAGGGCATCACTCACAACAGAAACACTAACTCTTTCAGCTCTCTCCTCTGTAGTCTTAATACTATAAGGCTGGCATGTGAAGACAAACTTTGTGGACAGATCTGAGAGGCCAATACTGAATCGCCGAGGTATACTTTCACCCTCTATGTACATCTCTCCAAATTGCACCTGCAATGCATGCATGTCAAGTTTGCCACTGATGATGTCAACATCTACAGAAAATGACCTATTCTGGGGAACACTCTCAGTTGCTACTGGCACACTTGGATGAGCAATTGTAGTGCCAATCTCTGGGTCGTCACGGATACCACCCCAAATGTTAACACGGTCAACATGCACTGCAGAACCTTTTCCATGGGACTTGACTAACTGAGAAGAAGCTGGGTTAACAGCCGTTAATTCTGTCTCCTTGAGGACACTTGTCTTTTCATTTTTCTTGCCGATCTTACGGTCACTTTTTGCAGCAGTTGCAGCTAAAACTTCAGAAATGTATTTTCCTACATCAAAGTCACATTTATTCAATAGTGAAAAGTTCTCTTGGTTATCTGAGCTTGAAACAAGCTCGTCCTTACCGAGATCAGTCTCTGGGCTGAAATCAAGAATTCTTTCTTGCAAAGTTTGGTGGGCAGTCTTGTTCAAATCGTACTTACTAAACTCTCCCCATAGACGTGTTTTGTTCTTCACCCCTTTTGTTTTACATCGAGCCTTGTTTTCCGCTCTGAATTCCCTCCAGTCGCGATCGTGCTGTAGGTAGCTTGGCCAACATGAAGAAGGTTCCGTTTGATTCACCTCGTAAACGATTTCAGTTTTGCTGGAATCGTTCGATTTACCCCGTAAATCGCCGACATGGGCGAACTTTCTTCGTTTCGGTTTCCTCGCCTCTTCCCCTTCTAAAACCGCCCGACAATCGCCTCGCCTGAGCCTTGGAGAAGAACAGTACCACGAAGACCCCTGGACTGATAGTCTTTCTACAAGGATAACCTTGTAATCGTTTTCAGCGTCGAAATCTTCGGGTATTTTATCTCTCAAAACCATTGATACGAGCCATCTTTTACGTTTTCCAAGGGAATACAACACTCTGTCGTCAAGATATCCCCTGCCACCGCCAAAGCGCCACTGGTGATCATCACGGCTTTCCTTCACCACATTGTCTTCATCGAGGCCGTCTCCTATTTGAAATTTTTTTAGACAACCTCTGACTTGTTCATCAGTGAAGTGGATGTTTTGGTTTCTAACAGTTTTGATAAGGAATCCGCAGTCAGCTTTACCAGGACTCGTTGAAGTCTTTCGGAGGGTTCGGCCGGTGTGAATGCCGAACTTGCCATTTTCCTTCCAAACCATGTCAAATGGGACCTCTCCGGTGGCAAACTGTCCTCAACCACTGTTACATCCACAAATTTATAGTCCTCGAAAGATTCCCCAGTCAGCGAAATCTTGCAGTTATTTTTGTACCCATCCAAAATAATGACTTATTTAGATTCTGCGTCACTACTCGAGAAGCTTGTCATTGGACTATCTGCCCACACGATCCGGGTCTCCGCTGAAAACGGTAAACAAACCGAAAAGAAACTGAGAAATATTCAACGAAATAAGCCTCTATTTGCATGCAAAAGAGATACAGACTATTATCGTACTGTTTCACGACTTGGTAATTGATTATTTGGGATCAACGATTGATTTGAAACCTCTTCAACCCTGTAACTCCCAGACGTGATTTACATGCAACTTCTCCCTACAATATTCATAAATCATCCAGCAAACAGATAATGAGAAAACTTAAATTTACCTAGTAGAAGTTGCAATCTTATTCTAACATCAAAATTCTCGTTACTAATTTACAAGACTATTTGTAGCTCTGGAGGTGAGAATTAACAATCACATCTTGGGAGTTCTGGGTACACTTGAACAATGAAACTTGGACAGCACGAAGTACATCAAACTGAAGATTTCCTAACCAGACAAATGATGAATAAATATTGTAATTTCTTCTGGTTTTTTTCTTTTCTTTCAAAGTTACAATAATTCTTTTTAGGTTTAAATCGATTTCACAAGACTGTATCAGAGCGGCCAAAGAAAGAACCCTTTATCTAGGGATATGGGCTTCCATCCACCTCGACGGGTTCCTGCTGGTCTTCAGGGCATGTCCTGTAAACGTTTTCCAACTGATCAGGTTATTATAATTTTATGATAATATATTAGATTCATATAGCGCTAAAATTATGAAATATTCTAAGGCGCTTAAATTTACAATACGAAGTTTACAATATATGTAACTTGGTCACTGAGAGATGATATTTGTTCTGTGAATGATACTATTGTCAACTTCTGAAATATTTCATAAGATTTATATCTGAACAAGATTGTTCCCAATTTCATTGATGGTTAGGTTCAGTTAAGAAGCATAGCTTTATCATACTGAGAGCCATTTTCTTCAGAATCTTTTGTTTATGAGGTCACCTGCCGTAGCAAACGCATCCTGACCTCATGTTTAAAGATGAATGGAAATACAACTTGATTAACATATGGAATCGTAGCAAAACAACATAGCATTCTAATTAGGTGCTTTCGTATTAGACGAAACTGTAAACCTATTTATACCGTGATTCAAGACTGCTTAAAGCTTAGAAAACGAAGCACTTCGTTGGAGAAATAGAAACGGCGGGAAAGAAGATCTTAACGATATTTACGCTTACTAATTGCTTACCGATTGTGGACATCGCTTAGTATGTTGTTATACAACTGAAACTTGCTTACTACTCCAGGTAAGTTAAATTTAGACGTTATAAGTGATAAAATATTAAAAAAATATATCTCTATCATTCTGATGGACATATTTACGAGTTTCAAACTACGTTTTATTATCAACTTTGAAGCTATGAGTCGACAGACTTGATACTGTTCAGGGATATTTTCGTCAGCGATTTGAAAGTGAAAATGTCAGGTATTCATACAACACACATTATACACGCGGCACTAGATGTAGGTAATTCCTACGTCTAGCCACGAGGACATTTTTTTTTGGATGATTTTAGCTGTTACTGATGCAATAATACAGAATATGATAGGAAAATCTGCAAGTCAAGTCAGCTTTAGTATGATGCTTCGGAGCAGTTAAAAAAAAATAACACGTGACTTGATTTTCGATTTCCTTGCAGTTCAAGCAGACGAATTGCGTAAATATCAAAAAGAAAGGAACAAGCAAAGGATAAGGAACCTATCAGTTTAATTGACGATGCTGGATGCGTGCGATTATTTCGTCTAAAACTCTCTGATTTATCACAGCGTTACATAAGAGCGCTTGAGACAATATGCTTCAACAACAAGCCAGCTTCGATGATTCGTACGACTATTTATTTAAAATCGTTTTAATCGGCGATTCTGGAGTAGGGAAATCGAACTTGTTATCCCGTTACACCAAGAATGAATTTCATCTCGGTTCAAAGGCAACTATCGGCGTAGAACTGGCTCAAAAGACCATTGAAGTGGAAGAAAAGAACATTCGCGCACAGATTTGGGACACTGCAGGCAAGTTGAACATATCATTATATTAATTATGACAGAAATAACCTGAAATTTCTTTTGTCTTTTTGAACAAAGGCGTCGTACTCGAGGTCTTTCAAAAAGACAAAAAGGTACAAATATAGGTATTTAAGTTATCTCAGGTTCCTAGTTCAAAAAAAAGACATACCTTTGTTTATGTAAGTTATTAGTTAAGGCATAAAATATATTGATCTAATTACCCTTATCAAAGCTGCACAATTCATGAGCCAGGCTAAAAAAAAAACCCCTTATTTTTCTTTAGCAAATAGCTGTACAAAAATCATCTTTGTCACGAAAATTAAACTTTACCTAAGCCAAACAAAAAGGTTGACAAAATTTTATTCTCGTATCAACGGCTACACAATCCAAGTTTAATCTCCTTATTTTTCTCATGTAACAGATTCAGTATTGAAAGAGACGCATTTAACCTCTTTTGACCACCGATTGCACACTATATACCATGAATTGTTTACGCTTTGATTCCCAAGAGTGACTAGCATCTAATTTCTCCCTACGGTGGCACAGCTGAATCAGACAT